GTGCAGCTGCTAAGTCTGTTGTGGTGGAAGGGGAGGGAAGGGTGTGGGGGGCACATGAACACCCCACTGTGGTGAGGGAGAAGTGGGGCAGGGCAGGGTGTGGGACGGAGGCACAGCTCAGCCGGGGGTCATGGGGAGAGAGCCTCCAGCTGCTGCTTGCATCCCAGGAGGGCATGAGCGGGGCAGCATGTGTTCCCAGATCTGCATAGGGTGGATGACTAATGGCTGAAAGCATTTTTACTTTTCTGCTTTGCCTTCTTCTAAATTTGAGTTCAATAAACTTCAATAGCCTGTGACTGACTGAAGTCTGCAGTGTGCTTGTCTGACTTGAGTGGCAGAGTAGGTACTGAGACCCATCCTTTTTGGTTCCCAGGACCTAAGGGACAGGGCACATGATGCTGTTCTGCAGTAGAGTTGGAGTGAGGACCCAGCTGGTGTTAAAATGCTTGTTCAATAAAAGCAGAATTTTGGGTGGCAGTTGTCATTTGAGTGAAGCCTACTGAAGCATGAAGAATTGTTATGAAGAGTCCTAACTGTAGAACATTTCATCCCTTAGTTTTGTAAGCTATACAATCTCCTGCAAATCAAATCCTGTTACAGCAAAGCCAGCATAATCAATATATCCCATGAGAACCTTTCAGCTTCGAAATACAGAACATTCGTTTCTCAGTAAAGAACCAAGTAAAGATACCATCTTAGATACTCTCAAATCTCCATTCAGAAATAAGTAGATCTCATTACAGAGGGAATAGCGATTACCTTGATTTCTCCGCTCTGTACTTTCTGAATTTCACGATCTGCATGACGAGTCAGCTTGACGTCTCTCTCCTTTCTCTCTCTCTCTGGCTCCCTGCTGATGAAAAGCACGTCCCGGCCTTCATCAAGTTTCCTCAATAAACTGTCCTTCTCTGCCATCCACGCTTTCTCACTTGCTCGTGAATCAAACTTCAGCTGGAGAAAGTCCCGTGTGCTCTCATAGAGTAGGTTCTGGGTCTTATGGAGTCTTAAAACAGGAATTAAAAAAGAATAATGTACTCCCTCCACCAATATCCTCCTTTGTTCCCCTGTATTCTCATTAGGAGTCAGAATCATAGAACAACAGAAAATTAGGGTCGCAAGGAATCAGGTGGTCATCTAGCTCAACCCCCTGCTCAAAGCAAGAGCATCCCCAACTATCTCACCCCAGCCAAGGCTTTGTTTACCTAGGTCTTAAAAACCTCCAAGGATGAAGATTCCAGCACCTCTCTGGGTAACGTGTTTTAGTGCCTGTTCCTGGAACCTCCTTTGTAACCACCTTTCCCATAACTGAAAGCTGTTATTAAATCCCCCTTCAGTCTTCTCTTCTCTAGACTAAATAAGCCTAGTTTCCTCAGCCTCTCCTCAGAAGTCTGTTCACCAGCCCCCTAACCATTTTTGTTGCCCCCTGCTGGATTCTCTCCAATTTGTCCACATCTTTTCTGGACTTGGGACCCAAAACTTGACACTACTCCAGATGTGGCCTCACCAGTGCCAAATAGAGGGGAATAATCACTTCCTTTGTTTTGCTGGCAACACTTCTACTAATGCAGCCCAGTATGCTGTTAGCTTTCTTGAAAACAGGGGCACACTGTTAGCTCATATTCAGCCTACTCCACTGTAACCCCAGGTCCTTTTCTGCAGAGCTGCTGCTTAGCCAGTTTATCACCAGGTTGTACCAGTGCATGGGATTGTTCTGTCCTAAGTGCAGGACTTTGCACTTGTCCTTATTGAACTTCCTGAGATTTTTTTTTGGCCTAATCTTCCAATTTGTCTACATTTCTCTGAATGCTGGCCCTACCCTCCAGCATATCTGCTACTCCACCTAGCTTGGTGTCATCTGCAAACCTGCTGAGAGTGCACTCCATCCCATCTTCCAGATTGTAGATGAAGACATCGAACAAAACTGCCCCCATGACCAACCCCTGGGACACTCCACTTGATACTGGCTGCCAACCAGACAGTGAACCATTGATTACTACCCTTTGAGCACAACAATCCAGCCAGTTTTTTTATCCACCTTACAGTCCATTCATCCAACTCCTTAGTTTGCTTGTGAGAATGTTGTGGAACCGTATCAAAAAGTTGGTGCAAGCGAGAGCTGAGAAAGGATAGGAATGGCCTCAGAGTTCTGAGCCAGTTTTAAGAGCCACTTTATCCAGGGATGATGGGGTAGTTTAACCTCTAGATTTCTTAGTCCACCTCCACTTACATACCAAGCAACTGACCGAATACTGTGTTTTCTGCCTGCTATATTAAAATAAGGAAATTATTTTAGACAACTTTACTGCCCCAATTAACAGAGTTGTTCTCTTGTACTCACTTATCTGTCAAGCTTTTGATTTTGTCTTGGTCCCTCTGGTGCTGAACCTGGGCTTCTTCCATGTGAATCCTCCTATCTTCTAACAGCGCATCAAGCTGTTCCTTGGATAACCGGGTCTGCTCTTCCATTTGAGCCTGCAGAGCCTCTACCTGAATGGGCGTGCAAGAAAGGCATTAAGTAAGCTCCTAAACCAGACATGCTGCAATCCTTGTGAACACTGTTTAAATACCAGGTAAATATACAAACAAAGAACACTCTCAACCCCTTAATACCTCGTTAGATACCTCATCCAAGTTCTCATTTATAATTTGATCTTAAAGAGAAGCCTGCTTTGGAACTCTAGTTATTTCTTTAACATATTTCTATGCATCCTTTGTAAGTGATAGACACTTTACAGTCAGTAGGCCAGATTCTTCCTTGCCTGCTATGAGACCTTGGAAGCACAGCCACTTCGAAGACTACTATTTTGAATACAGTATATTAAAAAAAAATACATCTTTTTCTATAAGTGTTATGTGTTGTTGTGCTCTGGGCTCACTGGGGGTAATTAATGCAAGTCCCAGTGGGACACATGTCTGAGAATCTCAAGTCCTGTGGGAAATGCATCCACTGGTTTGTTCTGGCTCCAAGAGGCCAGACAAACAATGAAGGTGATGGGTATAAATAGTCCCGATGTGGGGACACACTAAGGGAGATACAGACTGGAATAAAGAACTGGTAAGCTTGTGGCTCTGCATACCAGGACTTTACAAGGCTGATCGTTAATACCTGCTAGATGTAACATGCATGTAGACTGCTTACTGTTTTATTGCATTTTCTTTGATTTGCTTTTGCCCTCCCACAAAGTAAGCTGAATATGCTGAAAGCTGGATGTGACAGATGGACCCAGTCATTAGCCTCTGAAGAAAACAATACAGCAGCTAGTACTAAACTGCTAGAGACAGGACAGTTACCTTGAAATCTTGGTCTTAGGCTAGGGACAGACATTGGATAAGCTGCGTCTGTGTTTGTCCTGGAACAAAAACATCCTGGGATTGGTGTGTACACGCATCTCCCTTCTAATCAGGATTTAGCGAGCAACTGAATGCCATGCTCCTTTTCTGCCACTGATTCAATGACATAATCCCAAGATAACTGTTCAGATATACTTTGCAACATCCTGGGATAAACTGTTAGTACCTCTTATCTGGTAACCTTTTTTTTTTTTTTTAGGATTTATCCCAGGACAGCAGACATGGATGGTTTATCCCAGGATAAATGCACTGTCTGTTTGCAGCCTTAAGGGAAAGAGCTACTAGTCTCCCACCCAAGCAACATGATGATTTGAGGCCTGAGGTCAGATCAGGTTGTCCAGGAAGACAAGGGAAATCAAAGATTTAGGTATTCCAAAGCTTTGATCAATGTTTGGCATAGGAAAGGAGATAGTGGAGGGAGGGGAGGGAGAGATTTCAGTCATCTTTGTGCCTCACTAATTTTAGTCTCTCTTGCAATATAGAGCAGTCTTTAACGCTCTGCCCTCACCTCTTGCCTTGGCAACACTATTATTTCATTCTGTTCCATACAGAGGCCTGACAAAAGTAAATTTTGACTCCTTTGGCATGTTTCACTATATCATGTGCTGTTTATGCTGCACAAAGAGAAGGAGAAATACAGTTTCATGGATTCACAGAAGTTTAGTTTCCAACCACTTTGTTCCTTGAAGTTCTTAAACAAGTACTTAATCCTGAAGTTCTCTGTAGGCCAGATCCACAGCTGATAAAGCCAGTAATCCACTATACGAATTTACATCAGCTAAGAATATGGCCCTAACGTAGGATATACATTAACAACAATAGGAATTCTTTTGGACAGTTTATTGGATCTACTGCCACGGTAAGAAGTGTCACTTTAAATCCACTACACAAAGAAAGCACAATAGAGTAGGAGTAAGAGGGAAGCACTACTAAGCAGCAAACAGCAGGCCAGGTACTAGGCAGACAATATGTTCAGAATTCATAAAAATTGCCATGTATGGGCAGAAGGTGCATCTGTTAATTAGCAAATGCTCCTTACCTGCAGTAAAAGAGTTTGATTGTCTCTGTGATATTTTTCAGGACTTCCTGGTTTCTCACCTTTTCCTGCTGGCTTTGAGGTGCTCCTTTTAGTGCCTGCTGCAAAAAACAAGATTAATTGAGGAAATTGCATCACTTCTCTCTCTCAAACTATATACAAGACTTTTCCCAGCAGGGAGCATTGGAGAGAATATAATTTGCTGGCCTGAGGAAAAATTGCAGGAAGAGAACACAGCTGCAGTAACCACAGCTTCTTCCAGCAGGACTCACAAGAAATATAGAAACACTGGCTTTGGAGAGCTCATAGCTACCAGTGCGTATATGTATTTAGCCATCTTGCTAGTCTCATTGGTACGATACCTGTTCTGGAAGTATATGTATCATTTTGTTCATGTTGATCTCTGGATTTGAGTGGCCTTTGAGAAACAGTGACCTATGGGAAAACAATCCATAATCTCTTATCTGAACAATTCTGCTCTTTGCTCTACAAGCCATTGTCATGAAATGCAAATACTAAGGGGCATGGGGAAAGACTTGGAAGAACAGCCATCAATGCAGCAGGAGCAGAACAAACATATTTGCAGAAAGAAAGCCAGTGTTCAGTGAAAATACCCCCCACTGTACAGTTGCTTGAACTTTGCAGTTTCCATCTCTTCACCAGTTGTGGTTTTTTAAACTATTGGGGGCTGGTCTTGTTTTTGCAGACTGCAATGGGAACAGGATCTAGCCCTTATCAGAAGATGTAGCTTTTATAGGTGGCAGGAAAAGAGTAGGTGTCCTCTTCTCCACTAGCCCTCCTTCCTGCTATAACCGATTGTTAATACTGGTGAGGAAATAAAAGACAAAAACTATCCACCTGATATAGGTACTGTTTCAAAACCAATTGCTATATTGAGTTCCACTCAATGCAAGAACAGGAGGCCACCAGGAAGTTACAGTTATAGCTAACAATGGTTATAATTCCCTTCATCATGCATTTGCAACTTTGGTTTTGATGCTAGTTAAGCAGTTCCAAAGACACTGTATGTCAGTGAAAAATTGGTATGTGGTGTGTCCCTTTCCCTTTTTGCTATCCTTGGACCCATTACACTGCCTCTACAACAACTGAGAGCTATCCCACATCAGCAGAATTTCAAGCCTGCTTTAAAGGGACTTCTGCACAACTTGAAAAGTGTAGAAGGACCAGAAGTCAAAAGGAAATCTGGCTCAATGTTTCAAGTCTCACTCTGCACAGAAGACACTATTTTCTTCCCATATTCAACACACTCTTTATTCCCCAAGTCCCTGCTCTGACCTTTCTTGCCAATAAGAAAGCATGGATGACAGAGAAGGACAGTTTATTGAGGAAGCTTGATGAAGGCTAGGATGTGTTCCCAACAGCTGGGAAGTAGAGAGAGAGAACTATACAAACTTATATACAAAGCCCAGGCCCACTGCTGCTTACTCAGCATGGGTAACCAAACAAGGAGACATGGTTTGCTTCAGGAGGGAAGGATGTGACAAACCTCCTCTCCAGCACTCCTGTCCAGGGAATAAAACCGTAAGCTGGGACCCTGGGTAGGCCTCACTCTTTATCCAACATGCTAGCATCATTTTACTGTATTATGTATTAGACAAATAGTCATATGTACTGAAACATCCAATTTTCCAGTAACTTTCTCTAGTCCTTTGTTTTTGATTTACGTTTGTCCCTCAATCTATACAACATCTAGGAGATGAAGCCAGAACACCTCTGTAAAACAGATGATAAACAGGACCTCTGTCAACAGCTTTACCTTGTGTGGAGGCTCCTTGTGAAAATAAGTGACTTCTCCTGTGTCTGTTCCCACAAGAGCTAGGAGATGTTGAATCTTTTTTCTGTCTTCCAGCTCCCTAGAATTCAAAGAAAGGGGATCAGTATGAGATACAGCCTCTCCCTCAAGCTGCAGGGAGTCTTATAATCTTTATAAAAGCAGCTCTAATTCTTCAGCCTTTTGCAGCCCAAAAGGCAACACTGTTTTTTTAACTAGGCTACCAGATTCGGTTGACATTTACTTACAATACATTGGAACAAGTCTCCTTTTACTATTGTAGAAGTGTGGGGGGAATGGGTGTCCCTTTTCTGTACAATCTGACACTAGTATATAGTAGGATTGGGAGCTGAAAAACCAGAATTCTCACTCCAGGGTGAAGTCAGAAGTTCCTAACAAACTAGTTAAGATGACCCAAATCCAACAGATTTCCCAATGTAGAACAGACTTTATCATATTAAGATGATAGTTTTCCATGTATTCCAGTTCAAGATAGACTGTAATAGATGTACAAGGTTTTAAGTATCTCCTTGAAGAAATGCTACAGCACTCCCACAAACCACTTACAGTCCCCACCAAGTGAACCAAAAATCTGAATCACTCATAACTAGGATTCAGAAGAAACTCAGGGAGCTACAATCTACTGAGAGCTAATTTGGTGAAAGATGAGCAATTCAGGCTCAAAAAATAGAGAGGTACATATAGGAAGGGGTTAGAAAACAGTGGAGGGAGCTCTTAAAAAAAAACCCAAAACACTGTCCATTTTGCATTTGCATTTTAAAATGTAAGTTTCTTGCTTTTAAGACTGCATGGAGGGAATACAACCATGGAGAGAATACAAAACACTTAAACCAAAACCTCCAAGCTGAAGCTGACAACTTCATTTCAAACCTGAACTTTTCTCTACCTGTGTATCTGCTATGCGGACCTATTCTGGTATCAAAATCCTGTAACCATCCAGGACAGCAGATTGAAGGTCTTGCAGTACAGTCACTTAGAGTTCTTACTAGGCTAGTGCTAATGAACAGACCTATAGAAGAACTATACTTTTAAGGCGGAGGCTCTAACATGTAGCTATAAAACCTTTTCTGCACATCTCCATTTACCTGACTCACCTGATTTTCAGCCGGTCATTTTCTGAGTAAAGACGTAACACATGTTCCCTCTCCTGGAAGAGGTAAACTTGCATATCGCTCAAAGCCTTCTGCAGCTCTGCAATTTCCTCTTCCCGTTGACGCATCTCCCACTGTAGTTTGTGCTAGTGAGAAAAGAAGAGAGAGAGAGAGAAGTATGTGAATGATACTCAGCATCTGGCAACAGGAGCAACTTGTGTCAAGCAGAACCTAATACTGTAACAGCTCCTAGTAGGGCTGAATGGTTTTAAAGCAGTACCACCAAACTTTGACCAGCCAAGGGTATTACTGCCAGATCTTTCAGCCAGAAACCAAAGGCCCTGGTGATTCCACCACACTTGGATCATCTAGTGCTCTACCTTGATCCAAGTGACGACACAACATTAATCAAGCTTGAACACCTGACCTATGCTGGAACTGGGGAGGTTTGCAGCTCCAAGTCAGCGGTCAAGTTCTGAAAAGACAACACTTGAAAGTTTCCAACTTGAATAAATGCAAGGACCTTGCAACTTTGTGTTACGCTTAAGAAAAAAGCCCACAAAAAAAAATCAAAAACCAAAAACAGCTTACCACAGGATTTAGGGTAGGATATTATTACAAGCTTATGTAGTAATTGGCTTGTCCAATTACCATTTCCCTCAGAGGTCATGTGTATCATGGTGGACAAGTAATCCATGAGAACATTCCAACAGAAGATGAGGGTCAAAGATATCCCAATCCTTGTAGCCTATCAGGCTAGCATGATTATGGAGTTGGCAATTTCCACAGCCAAATGACACAAGGAAGTGACATGGCTAACATCACATTACATCCGTAGCCCAAATAACTAGGTCCACGTTTACAGCTGGGTTGACTGTGAATGTCCACGTTTACAGCTGGGTTGACTGTGAATGACTCCTGTGAGACTCATATTACCCACTCTGCTACATACCAGTAAAGGGGGGAAGTACTGAAACTTCTCCTAGCTTTTACCCACATGCTGATCTACAGAATATTTTGTTAAATCTTGCCTACCCTGAAGATCTTCAATCAGTTTCAGACATGGATGATTCATGAATAGCTATAATATTTTCAGATGTGATCAATCCTCTTCCAAACATTTTACTAAGTAAGGATCCTTTCTACTGTATGCAGCTACCTGGCAGCTTTCTGTTTGCTACAGTGATGCATTATAAGATGAGAGAACCCTGTTATAAAATGTCTGGTTTAATAAACTAGGTTTTACTTAGAACTTGTTTACCTTGTTTTGCCAAAGAAGTTCTGGAAGCAGTTAGCATTTGCCACTGTCAAACCACCAGAACATGCACACATTCATGTACTTCTGGTAGCTCTTCATGGTTCCCTGTAGTAGCCATAATGGCCAAATGCAAAAAACACTCAGGGAATGAACCAGCTGCAGAAGGGATAGCAACATCCAGCAGATGGTACAGACATAGTTACATATGCCTTCAGCCAGCTGCTGGCAGAGCTTTGTTTCATTCAGGAAATAAGGCATAAACCTGTTGGCAAAAGGGGTGGGAGTGGACAGGTGGGGACAGGGACAGGGGGAATGGCTTCTGTTACAAAGAAGCTCTGAGTAGAAATACTCCAAGTCTGGCTAACAGAACTGGAGCTGTGCTGGAAGAACACTGTAGCTTGGAATAGGTCTTGGAGTATAAGGTTTGGGTCAAAAACCATCCTTTTCATTCTGCTTATTAAGTGTTTAGGCCAGTGGTTCTCAGCATTTTTAGATCCAAGGTACCCCTCACTGGACTCAAGGCACCCCTTGGAAAGTGTCTGGGTTTGAAGTCTCTGGGTTTATCTTATGAATCATGTTTGCACACCTAACAGTGCTTACATTTCATGACACACTGTGGCACCCCTGAATAGTGCTACAGAACACTTGTTGAAAATCGCTGGGTTAGGCACACTGGGGTCCTGGTCCATTCTGGGGGCTGCTGAAAACCACTGCACTAGTTTACATCCACTCCAACAAAGCTCTTATTCATTTGGGGCAAATGAGTGTCCACATTTCACCAGACTAATGCATAGTGAAAAGCAAGTGGAAATAGTACTGTACATTAAACTCAGGGTTGAGAGCTAACATACATACACATATATCGTGAAGGCTTTCCACAAGAGTGCAATATATTAAAATAAAGGTACTTTCCCCTATGCACTATAAGACCTGATGGCCCAAAGTTGCTCATTCCTAGGACCTCAAGATGTAATGATTCCTCTTCAGCTCAGTCCAGCCACATTCCCCAGCAATCTTCAGTATGAGAAGCATCAGTAATATTAGCTCTTCAACCTCAATACTCTGATGAGAGTATAACCCTTTTTCTGCCAAAAACTGGATGTGTGAGTATGTTTAAAGTGTCCATGTGTGATGGACTAAATAAAACAGTCCATCACCACTATGGCATTCTTTATTTTTTTACCTGCTCATCATACGTTTCTTTGTATCTCTCCAGCCTTTTCACCAGGTCTTCATGCTCTTCATCAAATTCAGAAATCTTTTTGCGATAGTATTCCAGCAGCTCCCGGGAGGGGCGGAGAAAGGCCAGGCGCTCATTGATGGAAGGGAGTGGAGTAGAATCCCCACAACCTGGACTTGGAGAATTAGTAAATGTGGAGGTAATTTGGGTGGCTGCCAAGCTGGATAAAATGGAGGAACAAACAAAAGAAAAATAGTATTACGTTTTATGAATGAATAATATTTGGCTCTTTCATCATTAAAGTTCACCAGACCCTACTATGACTGGTCTAATGCAGTGGTGCTCAACTTTTTGGCCCTGTGGAACAAAGGAGCAGCCTGGGGTCGGTCCCCAAGTCAGAGCAAACCCTATGCACTAGGTTCAGGCGTTGGGGGCCCAGCACCACTCCCTCCTTGCCCCTAGCACTGGGATTGGGGTCCAGGGCCTGGCACATCTCCCTCCCCCAGCTCCCCATACTGAAATGGGTCCTGGGGCCAGTGCTGCCCATGCACGCTAGGACTGAGCACTCAATTCAGCATGCAGGGCGCAGGACTCCCCAGAATCTGGAAATTTAGTAAGAGGGGAGCTGCACAAACCAGTTTACATGGCACCACAGGCTGGATCTGTCCTGATGGGATAATTTTTCAAACAACATACAAATAATATTTTACAATATTAAAAAATATGACATCCATAACATTTTGTTTAAATTTTAGTATCACAGTAAACGTAGTTAACAGCTTCTGCACCTCAAATAATCTGACTTTAACATTACCAGCAAAATAAAATTTGCAGCATATAAAAAACACAAAAAAAATTAATACGGAACTGCTGACCTACCCACTAGTGGGTAGAGATTTGCCTGCTTGATGGGGGGTTGGGGGGTATGCCTCCCAGCCCAGTTAGATAGGGTGCCCTACTTGGCAGTTGTGGGGAGCTCTATGAGGAAGGCATCCACAGTAATGGGCCAACAGTGGCAGGGAAAAAGTGTCAGAGATAAAGACAAAAGGAAAAGGGGTACTACACACTCAAGTACAAGGTGGAAAGCAACTGTTGGACAGAGTATAAAGCAAAAAAAGGAATGAGAGGTGAAAAATATCACAAGTAAACATATCCAATACAACAGTGAAGTTGAGGTAGAGAGAAACAAGCAAAGGTAGTATTTACCTCGCAGAGAGCAGCAGCATGACTTACGGGCAACAAACAGGCTATCAGCCCTGGGTGCAGACTAAAATGGGGCATCCTTCCCCCCCCCCAGGATTCTTTGTCCCAGCCATGTGGCAGGACAGCTGTAGTTTCTTGTGGCATTCTCTTGAGTGTTTTCCCTTTTTGGGCCAATTGGGTGCAGCTATCTCCTTGCGGGTTGGCAGCTTGCCCTCCAATGGGAGTCTGTAAACTCCCCAGGGGTTCTTGCCTACCACGACTTGATGTTAAGGATTATTGCTAGGAGGAAGTTCTCACGTCCTGCCTCTCCTCGTTCCCTCTTCAATCACTTGCTTAGATCTTTGTCTTGGGGCTTTGCCTCCCCTACACCCTGCCTTACACCAACCAGAGATGATGTTAGGTCTTGGCCGAGGCTACCTCAAAGTCAATCAGCCACAGCTGGGCCTTAGCCCTTATGTTATCTCAGTCCCTATTCAGACAGTATACCATCCTTATTCAAGCCTCATGTTGGCCTGACTCATCGTTGCATGTGGCCTGGGATGCCTTCCTTCAGGGTTCACCCCCTCCCCAGGGTTACTCACGGCTTTTAATATTTTTCCCTCTCCCCGCAGGCTTACCACTGTCCCAGTCTCTGTTAGCTTCGTCTGAGATCCACAGCTTCATGAGAGGCATGTATCCTGGCTCCTCCGAGCCAGCCTTAGCTGGGCACCCCAGCTCTTGGGGTTGCCACTGGTCACCCCTGCCAGGGCATTCACTCACTCCCCAGTGCTCCAGGCTCTCAGGAAACTTCACTTACAGTCCTCCCTGGACGCTGTTTGGTGGGGATTTTATCCCTCTCTCTGAGGGCCGTCCAGCAAATCGACACCAGCATGCATCCACAAAGTGTGCCCACGCTGGTGCAGGGGAGCGTGTTTGGGCTTTGTTAGCGTTTTGCAGTGGCCATTCTTCCCACCGCTCCTGCACTGGCACTGCTTGTCTTTTGGCAGCGACCTCTCCGCTGTGGCACCTTTGATCTTTGGTGACATTCTGTGGCCACCACTTTTCCCTTGCTCCGGCGCTGGAGGTAAGTTTCGGTTCGTGGCGGCATCCCTGCCACAACAGCCCTAAACCCAGCGGCGTATCTGGGGGGCATGGGGCAAGCAAAATGGTGCTTCCACACCCCCTCTACCCCCACTCCAGGAGTCTTAGAGCAGGCAGTCTTACACCCAATAGCACATCTTTAAGGCAGAGGGAGAAAATGAGGCACCTGCTACCCAAGTTGATGCTGCTGCTGCACAGGGATGGTGCTGCTCAAGCTGATGTTGCTACAACAACAGTGGCAGCTGTCTTCAGTGTGACTTCTCTTCCCCTCACCTTGTCCCCCCTCATCTACAATGGTGGGCATATGCCCTCCAGCCCTGTGAACTGAAGTAGCTTGCTACACATGTCAGATAGGATGTCCAAATTCTGGTAGTCATAATAAAACATTTCAGAGTTCCATTGGCTTGTCATTGTTGCTGGATATAGAAGCAACTAGAAATTTTAAAGCTGTGTTTCATTAGGGACTATATCTTTTTCTTCCAAATGTACAATAATACAGTTGACATGCTCTAACTGTGGCTGTATGTGAGGAACAAGCAGAAGCTTCTTTGTTTCAATAATTATCACCTAGATATTGCATTGAGGAACATAGTAATGTTACTTATATCAGCAGGAAAATATGCATATCCCTGTGTATCTAAATTTCGGTATAAACTTGGCTTCATGAGCCAGACATGAATTTACTTGTAAAAGTACCAAATTTACATACATAAGTGTATACATGCAACTGTTCACTGACCTCAGGCTTCTCTTTTAAAAACTGGTTCATCGGTGTATATGTTAAGAAGACAAAAAACTTTTCATGATGTCATTGCTACGAAAACTAAAAATGATAATGCTTAACTAATTTACACAATTCTTTGCCAAACAAATCCATGTGCCAGAAGTTGACTGAAATTCTCCCTTCCAGATGTCCTGCAACTTTGAAGGTGTTAACAAGAACGTGGATTAGGGTGATCCAGTTAACACAGTCATACAGCTAGGAGCCTCCAGGTCATCTACTCCAGCGTTTCTCAACCCATGGGTCACAAGAACATACGAGAGGGTTGTGAACAAACTTTAACAATGGATTCTCCTTTAAAGGAGAAAAATGAAGGGAAAATGTGGCTTTTCCCTAGTATGCTGGCAGAGTTCCAGCCTACAAGGGGCTGCATGGGGCCCCCCTGCCCTACACACCCTGGGGGGCCCGGGCAGGAGGTCAAGACTGAGGGGTGCTGGGTCAGGACTGGCCATTGATGTTTACAGATAGGCCTTGGTACAAAAAAGGTTGAGAACCACTGATTGACTCCAACCCTCTGTCTGACACAGGATTATCCCTATCCAAACCATCCCATACAACCATAATCTAAACTGTACATAAGATTAATATACCTGGGCTTCCAAAAAGCCTTGTACAAAGCCCCATATCAAAGGCTCTTAATAAAATTGAGTTGTCACATTAAACATTGGCTTCAAGACAGAAAGCCATGAGTAGGTGCAAATGGTTGGTTTCCAGAATGGAAAAAAGTAAACAGCTGGGCCTCTGCCCTTCCACTTGTTTGACTCTTTTAGCGCAAGGAACTTGGAAAGCCCACAACAGGTCAATGCCACAGATCCCTATTTGACATCTCTGGGTTTATCTTGCGAATCGTGTTTTCCTGCCTGACAGTGCTGGTGCTGCCTGGCACCCCGCCGTACCCTGGCAAGGAGTTCAAGGCACCCCAGGGGGCTGTAGCAACCAGGCTGACAATCACAGGACTAACATTGAGGCCGCCAAGCAGAGAACTCTGCCCAACACCCGCTGCACCCTGAAGATAGCACAGAGCCTGTGGACGGGCCGGATGAGCACTGCAGCTCAGCCCTGGAAGTGATGCCTCAGAGGTCCTTACGTAAATTCACCAGACTTGACACTGACCGTCACTCACACCAGCCTTGCAGCACAGGGCAGAGAGGGAAACCAACCAGTGTTGCCACGTGTACAGTAATTATTGTATTTGTAGGATCATTTCAACCCTTGTACAATGTACAATAGATAAAACTAAAAGTGTTCAAAATGTACAATAACTTTTGAGACAGTTCACTGATGCAGCAAATGCAAACCCTGGTCACTCTCAGGGAGTCTTAACTGACTTTCTGGTTCGCTGCCACCACTTTCTTATAACCTCTTGCCTGGAAATAAAGAAGTGCATCAACTTTGAAGACCCAGGTCTCACTCACTGGAGGCTTACAGTTAGCAATATAAAGTAAATAAGAACTAAGCTTAATTAGCATTCTTCTTTCAGTTTTTTTCAGAAAATACGATCGTTTGAGCTTTTAATACGATGTTTTCATATTTAAGAGTTGGCAACGCTGGGGAGAGGCGGGAGCTTGGCATTGGCGGGGCTGCAGAGCCGCACTCACCTCCTGGCGGCGCGAGGAGACCCCGGGGAGGACTCCGCCGCGCTCATCCCACCCTACCCGGGCCTCCAGGCTGGGCTGGGGTCCTCGGTGGCACAGGAGGGGCCGCTTCCGGTCTTCCTACGGGGCCCGCGGGGGACAAACCCCGCGGAAACGCGGAAGGCCTCCCCCACTCCCGAGAGCCTGAAGCTGCTCCTCGGATCAACTCCGACCTGCACCAGCCACGCTCAACTGTAAACCTCCACTCTAGCAACGGAGCAAACCGCCACCGGCAGTTCCGCCCAATCGCCGCGAGCCTTACATCGCCGGCGCGTTCTCCCGCCTAATCGGCGCTCGCTGCACAGCGCGCACCCACGCCGCGCCAGCGTCCCTGGGAAATGTAGTTCTCAGGGCCTGGCCCTGAGGCCGGAGCCGCGCGCGGTGGATGTGGCAGGGCGGGGGGCAGTGAACACGTCCCAACGCCACAAAAAGACGCGTTCACACACCGAGGGGGATCCCCTCTCTACTGTACAGAAATGTTGAGTTTTTCCCCATGATAGCCTGACCATCTGCATGCAACCCAGGCTGCTGCACGGGCTGGGTTGCAATCGCGGGCGGGCTCCTAGCACGTGCGCTTTACACCCTCCTTACCAGGGGCAGGGCTAGCTTTGAGACCCGCTATCACGCACACGCACTTTGAGCCTCCCCCCCCCCCCATTT